GCTGCGCAGGTGAATGATCCAGGCGTGTTTTGGCAGCTCACCCCCGAGGAACACGGCATGGACACGCACTCGTCCACGTCCTCCCTGCAGGTGTTGCCTAGCAACGTATGCATAAAACACGCCAAACAAAAAAAACGAATGTGATGATAATCGTCATGATCATAACATTTATTGTCGGGATTCAAAATGTAATTAGAGGTTTGTGTCGTAGAAGGTGAGTGTCATTTGATCATACATCTCGGTATGACATCACTTGATTTGGATTCAGTTGAATGACTGCTACCCTATTATACAAACCCTACCGGTCATCCCAGGCGGGCAGACGCAGGAGAAGGTGTTACGTCCGTCGATGCAGCGGCCCAGCCTGCAGGGGTTGGGCTTGCAGTCGTCCACGTCCACCTCACAGCGGTCCCCCGTGAAGCCATCCGCACACACGCAGACGTACTCCCCGCTCCCCGCCACGCCGTCCGTCTTGGAGACACAGGAACCGCCGTTTCCACAGTCGCAGGGGCTCACAAACACCTGGCAACGACGAGGAAGCCGTGTGTTTCTCTTTTGTTTAATTGTCCATTCAGAGACAGGAATGCTCCCTCTAGTGTTTGATTGTCATAATGACTTCAAATGTGATCATACCCGACAATTGTTGTAATGCTTTGCACTCTTGCAATTATTAAGAAAAAACACAGCTGCTGTTTTGGTGTCACATTTACATCAGCTCCAACACACCCGTACCTGTACAGACACCTGGGTCTCGGCGCCGCACTCATCCGCCACAGTGATCTGGAAGGTGTGTCCCTGCGTGCCGTCCGCTCCAGAGGTGGCGCCCCAGGACAGCAGACCGGCCGGGGAGAGAGCCGCCTCTCCTGGGCCCGACGCCAGGGTGAAGACCACGGAGGAAGCGTCCGGATCTCTGGCCTGGAGCTGGAAGAGGAAGCTCTCCCCCTGGAAGGACCGGAGCCGGGACGGCAAGGGCTGGATCACCGGAGGCTGGTTGTCTGGTCGGAAAAAAGAGTGGGAGAGGGAAGGGAGTGAGTGAGTAAGTGCGGGGTCAGCGAATAACGGAGCGAAGTTAATAAATGAGTCGTTGACTTAACAGGGGAATAAAGTGAGTGAATGAAGTGAATACACAAACAGTAGGATAAAGGATATATTATTCATATGAATGAACAAACAAACATATTACATTTACTGTTGATCAACGCCAGGATTCGCTTATTCACCCAGAAGTACAGAACTACTGCGACTGGTCAGCTGCTTCGGTGCACACATGGAGCCAGGAGGTGGCAACTGTTCTCCTTCCTGGACCTGTTTCCTGTCTGGTTACACCTGCTGCTCTCCCTTCTCACACACGTGGGTCCGCCCGCCCCCTGACCTACTTTCTAGCTGAGGAAAAGCAGCTGGACGCAGACGTCCACAGCGAACCGCGCGGTCCTTTCAGCGCTGTGTCAGAGGAGAGGGGGGACCCTGGACCTCCTGCCAGCCGAGGGCAGCTGACCCCTGGACTCGAACGCACGCTCTGGAGCCCCCCGGCCTCGTAACTCAACCCCGAGCCCACTTTTACTCCCATGCCGTACTTCCTTCAATTGACTCACTTCAATTGAGGATAAACACCGGGCCAGGCGGCAAGGCGTGCCATACCGTAGGTTTAAATGGAATGCATGTACATATTTTAATGATTTCTACAACGCTTACAAAGTCAACCACACAAGGAAATAACCAGCATCTCAGGGGTGGTTGGATGCTTTGCTCAAGGGTATAAGAGGAGAGACGAGAATAACACCAGCAACCTTCTAGTTGCCAGACAACCCAATTTAGCTCCTGCACGTATGCGGGATAGATGAATCAAAATTAACTAAGGGAAGGTACAGCACCGTGTTTGTTAGCAGATCCCTGCATATGAGAGAGAATATCATGTTTTGAATAATTATTATGGATATTATACCTCCTGCGGTGGACCAGGTGTATTTGGAGGAATCTGGTTGACATATCAGACAAGCGCTGCTGGGATGGCGGTCCCCTTCACTGTAACACACGCTCTCAATGTTGCATGTCTTCTCCTGAAACAGAAAACACAGAGTCCATTGAATTCAATATCCCCTTTTTTCCCTTCAGCACAACATGACTCTCATGGCGAATCGTGGAATGAGCCATTCAGCAGTGCTGTTGATTCATGATTTCATGGGAACAGCAGAGGTCGTCGAGGCATGTAGATTTAAAACACACTTTAAATCACGTTGAGCAAAGGAAAACACAAACAAACACACACGTGACATTAGGCACCGGGCCAGCGGTTATTCAGCCCACATGTTTTAGCAAACCAACACCTCCGCAACGCTTGCCACGCGCTAAAAACGCTGGTAACCGTTTCCTGTGTTGAACGGTCTTAGTGAGGGGAAAATATCAGCGTTGTTATCACACCTTCTCATTCTCAGCCTTCAGCACCAACACTTCTGATCCACAGTTCATAACAAGATGACAACGATGCGCTGAATACTCCTATTGAGGTCACAGTGACAGCACAGCTTTGTATAATTGTACAGGTTTAACACTAAACAGACAGCACAAGCCAACACATTCATAGCAATGCCTTTAAATGCAGTCAACCAGTTCTTCTTCTGGAAAAAAGGGTGTTGACATTAATGAGCAGCAGTTGTTGCCTGCACTAGGTGTATGAAAAATACTACATATACGATATTAATCTCTTCTACTGTGCAGACGCAGAAGAGGGTGAGCGAGAGTGAGGGAAAGATAGAGACATGTGAATGAATGAAGGAGAGAAAGAAAGAAAGAGAAATAGAAAGACAGGCAGATAAAGAGAAAGAAACAGCCAGAGCTATACATACTCTCAGGGAGCAGAGCGCGTCAGCGGTGGAGCTGCAGCTCTGGCAGGCTCCGTCGTACACCGTGAGCACCTTGGCGTTGCTGTAGCTGTAGCCATCATTAGACACCTGCCAGGACACACAATCATATAGATTATAGTGTATGTATTTGTACGGTTTAATTTCTGATGTAAAAATACTTAGAAATGTTGTTACATACAAGAGATAAATTAACAATGAACACAGGGACACAGGATCAACATTGGGAATGTATTTTTCATTTCATTGGGCCTTTAATGTCCTGTATCTGAATACATTGTAAGTCTCATATACAGTCAATAGTGAATAAATTGCTGAATTGAAATAGTGAATAGAGTGGGTTCTGACCTTGACCTGCCAGCGAGCCAGGGGTCTATCTGGACTCATCTCTGGGGCAGAGCCTGCAGTGACCTGGCTGTCCTCCAGGGGGAGCTGGCACTCCAGAGATGTGCCATCCAGGAAGGTCGCCTGCACAAAGCGTGGGTCATCCAGCACCCACTCCCCGTCCTCAAACTACCCCAGAGACGAAGACAGAGACCCCAGACATTTACAACATAGAGACACATATGAACAAGACACCACCCCATCATGTAACCCAAGGCTTCTGGAGACAAGTAGAAATCCAAAGTACCTTTTCTTTAACAAACTCACACTTGAGCTCGTAGGAGAGTTTGAAGCCAACGCCGTGGACCTGGACGATGGCGCACTCCCCCTGTCCCACGTCACACAGACCCTCCTCTTCCAGCGCTGTGATCTCAGGAATCTGGTCTTCACAACATCAACGACAGGAAGAAAAGACAACGTTACCACGGCAACAATATCACCGATGGAGAGATGGCCTTGTGTCACCAGTACCAGAGGAAGGAGGAGGGTTGGGCAAGAGGGCAAATACCTTAAAGAGGCATCGCTATGATGATAACCGTGACAATGAATATTGGTAGGTAATGTGTGGACTGCATGATAGATAGCTAGAATTTCAAACATAGACTATCTTAGAGTGACAGTAGGTTGGGAAAATACAGCCACAGTAAAAGCCACAGTACATATATTATGAGCAATCTAATCTTCAAGTCAATTTCTGACTTTTGGAGACTCACTTCCCCAAAATGTCCCCATAAGGATAGTAAATCTGTGTGTGTGTGTGTGTGTGTGTGTGTTTGGTTTTGGCGCTCTTACCAGACACGGTGCTGCAGTCATAAGAACCGAACCCTGGGAAGCACACGCAGCCCCGGTCCGAGCACTGGCCGTTCCCGCTGCACAGGCCGGGACACCGGAGGAGGGCCACCACCTCCTGGTGCTCCCCCTCGCTCCTCCTCTCCTCCACTAGCCTCCTCTCACACTCGTTCTCCAGCAGAGGCAGCGTCGCGTTCAGCCACGCCACGTCGTCCTTCAACTGCAGGTCGCTGACGCACATGGCCACCGCGCGGCCGACGAAGGCCTTCCCTAGCAGGAGCCTGCAGCCCAGCGCTATGCTGGAGTTGGCCACCGCGCGCTGGCACCTGACCCTGGCCTGGCGCTGGGTCAGCCCGGACGGGGTGGGCCAAGTCGGGGGTGAGTTGGAGGAGGAGGAGGAGGAGTCTGGTTGAGGCGCCGGTTCGTGGTCCTCTGGGAAGAAATAGGCGAGGCCTTCCAGGTCAGCCTGGCTCAGACTCTCGTGGGGCGGGGCGGAGACGTACCGGTACGACTGACGCCTGCCCCTGTTGCCCGGGTAACGGGACGCGGGGTCGGACCCCTTCCCGCGTGTCCCAGAGACGGGGCTTGCACCCTGGTTGCGCTGGGAGAGGCGTCCTGTAGGCAGGGTTCGTCCCCGATTGTCCTCGTCTGAGCGTGTCTCCGTGGAGACAATGTACTCCGCCGTGACGTCCAGCGAGGGGATGACACTCGAGAGCTCAACGATGCCACGGCGAGTGCAATTGGAATCCGAGGAGCTGATTGGTCGAGAGTGGGTTCTGACAGGGGGTGGGAGGCGGGGCTCTGCCTGACAGCTGCAGTACGTGGCCGGTTTCGGTGTGATGGGATTGGATGGCGGTGTGTCGAACAAGCTGGTGCCTGGAGAGAGTCTGATAAAGACAAAACAAACAATCACAAGTGGTTTACTGTCATATAGTATTCTACTAGAAGTACAATGTAGTTGGTCCTGACTAGCTCAACTGGTAGAGCATGGCGTTAATGTTGCCAGGGTTAGGGGTTTGATTCCCACTGAGGCCACCCATGCTACAGTTTTGTAAGACGCTTTGGATAAAGCATCCACCAAATGGCATATATGCGATGTCCACGCTTATCCAACATTCAACAAAGTTTTCAATAGTAATCTTCGTCATCTTTTTGGTGAAACGCAGGCTTTCACTGAATGACATCATCAATGCCATTGTGTGTTTCACCAGATTTGTTGCTGTCCCCAAGGATTTTTGATTCTAGTCTTTCAATACTCTCCATCTTACTGAATCTCACCTCCATTCAGAGATGAATGCCTGTAGATCCCCCATGACGTCGCCGCCTGCAGAGTGGAGGTCGTTGTTGGGCTGACCGTCGAAGGAACCACACAGTCCCGCTGTGTGGTTCCGGTCCGAACCGGGCGCCCTCACGGTCAGACTCATCCCCCAGTCGGAAACGTCCGCACGCACAAACGCTCCTGATGAAAACGTCATCTGCAACGACGCAACCAATGAGCAATTAAACATAATATGAACCTAAACCTTTCATGTTGCGAGAGAGAAGTGTTACTCAATGCTGCAACTAGATTGAGAGCTTGTGATGAAAACATAAACACACAGCAATATATTCTATATATATATATATATATATATATATATATATATATATTTAGCCTAATTTCAAAACAAACCAACCAAAGCAAAGGTTGTCAAACTCTGCCCAGCCGCTGTATTAGATGAGTAGTGATTGGGTGCGTTTGATTCGCTGCCTACCTACCGTGACTTTGCGGCCCTGGTAGGACCGCGTGATGCGGATGCCGCTCTTGCCCAGGTGTCTGTTCTTCACCCACAGGTGCGGCTTCGTCTCGCCCATCTCCCCGTTGCACATGTCGAACGCCACGACGTCACCGCCGTCGCGCACCACCACGCCGCACACGCAGGAGGCGGCGTGTACGACGCTGCCGCACTCCCACTGGCGCACCTGCACCTCGAACGGCCGCAGGGCGCTCTTGTAGAGGACAAACGTGCCGATCTGGTAGTTATCATAGAGTCTGGCGGTAAACACACAACAAGGAGGAATAAGAACGTTTACTGAAAACTTTACCGTTATTGTTATCTGGTAATGAATTAATTGATAATACAAAATAACTGTTGTCTATCAATTCATCAGCTAACTTAATCAACCAATCAATGACACCGCCAGTACAATCACCCAATCAATCAATCGCTCTGTCAGTCAGTTGATCAATCAGTTGATTGAACGTGAGACAACAAATAACAAATTTAGGTAACACTTTAGATTAGAGACCACATATTCACCATTAACTAGTTGCTAAGATCGTAATTTATGTATAAGAACTTCCTTACTTACTATCAATAAGCAGTAATTAGGAGGTTTGAGGGAAAACTCTGATATTAAAGTTAATGTCTTAGTAGTTGGAGAATATGGTCATGCAGAATAATGCATTAATAAGTGCTTTATAATGACTAATAAAGAGCCAATACACGTGCTTATAAGCATCTAGTTAATGGTGAATATGTGATCCCTAATCCAAATTTATTATGAAATATTAAGATCGCTATTATAGGCAACACTGGACTTGGTATGACATAAGACTAATAATACTTAATTATAACATTAATATAATAATCACATATCATATCATAGGAATAATCATAACAGTGAATGGTGACTCATACACTCATACTATCTTCATCAGAAAATAAGAATAATATGAACATATAAGCATATTAATTAAAAGTGAGTAGTGATTCTGAAGCGTATCGCTGTGGTTCTTACAGCCCTGAGTGTGAAGTACCTGCCATCAAATGTGATGACGTGAGGGTCGGTGAACACGTAGCAGTAGGCGGATGGCTCATCCTCCACTGTTATCTACAACAGCAAAGATATACATTATGTAGCCAGACACACTGACAGAACAAATAACTATTAGCCAGAAATAACAGAACAAATAACTATTAGCCAGAAATAACAGAACAAATAACTATTAGCCAAAACATTAAGCCAGATAGACAGATGGAAATACATACAGGCAGGGAGACGGACAGAACACTGCAGAAAGACAGACACAGCAGAGACAGATACACAGGCAGACAGACACACGTACAGACACACAAGACAGACGGAACAGAACAGATCACAGCAAAACAAGATAACACATTACACAACTTTTATTTTGAAAGCGTGTGTACCTGAACAGGCTCGGGAGTGTATCCGTTCCAGAGGAAGTTGTGTTTCTTAGCGATGGGTTTGATGGAGATCTGGGTGCTGCGGCCTCCATCTTTAACAAAGTCTGTGACGGGGCTGAAGTGGACCAGGGCCTGGCTACACACACCTGCCCTACAGGGGCCCTGGGCCCCCAGCTCCACCAGGCAGGACGACAGGACCAGGTCTGGCCCCAACACACGGGTAGTCTCTGGATAACCAGGATAAAAAGGGTTGAATGTCAAGCTGATTGTTAAACACAATTATTACAACCAATGTAAATGCTAGTCAACTGCCAGTGGGTGCTTAGTATAAATCAATGTCAATGTTCTTTTTGGGGAAAATGAATATTAATATAGAAATATTAAAAAAGAACATACAAAATATACAATATATACTAAATATATAAATTCATTAAAATGATACTAATTATGTCCCTGTGCATCTAATTATTTCCAGTATTTGGTTAGGAAAGTGGGGACATTTTGTTTGCTTTCTGACTTTTAAGTAAACAACGACACGCAGGAGATTTTAGGATGACAGAAGTGACATTATTAGTCACTATATGACAGGTAAGGCAGTATCTCCAGAACCTTGTGTGTGTGCGCTAAGCTGTAGGACCAGACTGCAGGGTCCGGCTGGATCCTGGTCACATGGGAGGGGGATGGTGCTCTCTACAGACAGCCTGTAGTCCCTCCCATCCTCCGGTACACTGGCCACCACCGGCCTCAGCTGGGAAAACCGGGAATAAACAGTATTTTGTATACACAATATTGTACTCAGATTGTGTATATAGTTTTTTTTTTTTTATGTGCGTCTCTTTTTTAAATTCCTACTACAATCCTGTACACCCGAATTCCCCGTCCGGGATGAATAAGTTAGTACACCTCAACTTATTTTATGTATTTTATAAATTATGATTACTATCAGCAAACACAAAGACAACTGTGCCTACAGACACGTGCATTAGCACAGTACACATACACACACACATACACACACACACACACACACACACACACACACACACACAGATGGTCACTATACCCTGATCCCAGCAAAAAACTCCTGACTTTCCACCACGGGTCCTGGGACGTCTGGAGAATCCAGGAAGAAACTGGAGCTGGAGCAGTAGATCTAGAAAGAGAGCAAGAGACATAGAGAGAGGGAGTATGAGAGAGAGTGAGCGCAGAGGTCAAAGTAAAAGGAGATGACAGAAAAACAGATGGGGAGAAATGAAAGGGTCAAAAACATCAATGGTGCTCTCTACAGACAGCCTGTAGTCCCTCCCATCCTCCGGTACACTGGCCACCACCGGCCTCATCTGGGAAAACCGGGAATAAACAGTAAATTGTATACACTATAAAGAAAAATAAGAAACCTTGAGAAAGACGAAGGATGAGAGGAAGGAGAAATGACAGAAAGAGACAGACGGGAGGAGAAAAGTAGTAGTTATGCTGAAAGCCCAACAGGATGTATAAACTGCTTGAAAGTTTAACCGGGTCACACACACACACACACACACACACAATGACCCAATGTCAAATATGACATATATTGAGATCTTCCAGTAATAACAACAAAACCAGATTTTCAACAGTAGTACACTAAACTGCACAGCATTTTGATTTATAGACCCTACTTTTTGGACAATGAACAGATCTGTGAATTTGAGAAGTGAATATACTTCAAAATCAGGGAGAAAATATTGTCAATAAAAAAAAGAAAGATGAAGGGGAAAGCCCTTCATCTTTCTTTTTTTATTGACACAAAAGTAGGGTTTGTGGGCCCGATTCAATCACGTTGAACACCAATCCAATGATCCAACACATCTATTTTAAGATAAACCCCCAGAGGTGCTGAAAGCTACAGGGGCAAGGACACACACAAAATCAAATACACTTTCATTCCCTCCAGTGCCACCCTCTGCCCAGACTGCACCCAGAACCTTGTCTCCCAGGCGGAGGTTGAAGCCGTCCAACTCGATGGCGGAGGAGGTCTGCAGGGTGGTCTCTCGCTTCAGCTCCTCCCTGTGTTGCCCGTCCCGGGGCGACAGGCGGTGCCAGGTCACGGTGAAACCCAGCGAGCCGTTGGCGCTCCGGTCCTGGAAGCTGCACCGCAGCAGCACCGCGTTCCCGGAGACCTCCGCCCGGATGACCGGCGCGCCGGGGGTCGGAGGCTGCGTGGCTAGAGGGTATAAGGGAGAAGAAGAGGGCAGTGGGCTATTTGGGTTTACAGAAGGTTTGAATGCTATTCTCAAAGGGGCGTCAAATTGCGGTCTGTATTGAAGTGAGGTTTATGGAGGACTCCCTCCCCATCATCTCTCATACCGCCATCAGCCACCCTTCCCCGCCACCGTCGCTACCTTCACAAACACCATCACCTCCACCATGTACAATGAGGAGGCCTAGGCAAAGGCACTTGAGTCACACACATGCTTAACACACTATCTACCAGTGAGGTCCTCACGATGACACCTTCCCTCATGGTCCGCCTGGGCGGTACCGCATGGCCCAGGAGACGTCAGGGAGGAGAACGCCTCTGTTTCTGGAAGTTTAGGCAGTGGAGGTTACAACAGGTAACGTTTTTTTTGATCCTGATCTTTAACTCTTGCATATTTTATAAGGTAACACATACACATAACCACTGCAATGTGACATCTCTGAAAGAATATACATTGTGTCGTGTTACCCTGTGTCATTTTCTCGTATGCTGTTGTTTTGTGTTGTCTTATTATACTTTTGCCTGGAGTCATGTACCCAGCCCCTAAACTGCTCAGTGTTTAACTTTATCTATATTTGTATTCTTAGTTATATACTTATTCTTAT